AAACTTTGCAGCCCTGAGCATGATTAATGCGGAAATCTCCATAGTTCTAAGTCTGCTATGGCAATGGATTCTTTCCTAGTACAATGAACAGTGTCTAAGATCCTTACACGCTTTGAATTCCAGTAGATTGACGTTTATTAGTTGAATGAATGAGCCAAGGGTGAAGACAAATCTTTATGAGTGTTTCAAACTTAGATAGTCCAGTTATGGGCTGGATGAGCCACATAGGGTGGTTGAACTGGAGTTTTCCATTTATCCACAGAACGAGTTCTGTGTTTCCAGCTGCAGTGCAGGCCTGTCCAAAGTACCCTGCCAGCGTGTTTACACCCTGACCTGGAGGGACCAGCTAAGGGTGAGACTGTGATTCACTATCCATGTCCATCCCATGTTTGTTTGGTTAGCTAGGACTGGCCATGCATGCTGGGGATGGTCCTGGGGGTCTAGGGAAATAACAGGTTACCCTCCATGTTTGAAGGCAAACCTATGTTGACTGGCAACCCACCTCCTCAACACTCCCAACCTCAATGCATGGCACCTTGAATCTAAAAAGTGAAGCACTAGGCACATTCAGACTCAAGGCCATGTCACCTGGCAACTTACCCAGCTGACATCTGTTCAGACCCAAAACAGAAAGAAAGGCCACAACATGCTTTTGAGGGTATTCTTCATCTTAATGACACATGGTCAAAGCAGGTCCTTTCTGTAAATAAATACATGAATATCTTAATGCTGTTACTTAGGACCCTAAACTAAAAACAGTGCTGTGAAAACTGAAGGATCCTATACGCAAATCTGAGAGAAGACATTTCAGACAATTGCTCTTTTTTTCCAAAGATATTCAACGAGTGTGTTTATCTCAATCTGACTGAAAATTTTTGACCTGGGTTCTCATTCCTGCTAAGAAAATCAAATGGCAAAAAAAAAACTATAAACATTTCAAATGACAATTAACTCTAAGTATAAAATATAGTATTTTACTATTAATTTGCAATGTAGAGCTCTATTTGATTAAGCAATTTTAGAGGAAGTCCAATCCTTAGTATCTGGACTTCTAAAAAGACAAGGTATTTCATCAACTACCTGTTTGCTTATTCATTTTTAGACTTAGATCACAAATGAGGACAGGTGTTCACAGGAGCTTAATACAAGGCCTGTCATATGATGAACTCTGAATCAATGTTTACTCTTATTACAAGCTAAGGCATCATGCCATATATTTCTTAAGCTGCTTCTCTTGTGTTCCCATACTGTATTCCCTTCCATGACTCGGATATACCAATGGACAGAGGCTGAGAAAGGAAAGTCTCATTCATCACCGGATGGCACTGGCTGTGTCCCTGACTGTAACAACACTATCCAGAGCCCTGTGTATTGTGAGACAGCTCATCTATGTCCTTCTCCAGGGTTTTCCTCCATCCATCACCTCTAATTTCTTCCCTATAGCCCCACAACCAGACTTCGTTTCACTATCTGAGTCCAGCACATGAATGCCAGAGGTGGCTCAGGTGCTGCCTGGGATGGACACAGTACCTCGCTTCACTCAGCTGGTGCCTCAGCTGGTGCCCAGGCAGCCCAAGGTCAAGGCTTCCATCTGTTTTTACTTCCAGTCCAGCCAACACTACAGCTTGGGCAATCATCTGAGATTTCTCTCTTGCTTGAACTTTTAGCGGATCCTTAGCCCACTGTTACCTGTATGGATTGAGAAAGGAAGCAAGCTTTGGGTATGAGAGATCCTTAAACATCTTCATGCATCTGAATCACCTTCCATGCTTCAATAAACACAGTCTTCTGGCTCTATCCTGGGGCTTCCATTTCAATAGGCAAAGCTGGCTTCCTGGGCAACAGCCTGGCACCCAGAAGGGGCATGTGTATTTTGTATAAGAACCTCCTCTTGCCATCTAGAAATGTGTCATTTTCTTTAGCATGGTCTTCCACGTGCTCAATTTGCACTGGGCTCCACGAGTGAGGTGTTCCGTTCTGTTGGAAGTCCCAGAAGTTCCGAAATGATGTGGATGTAGCCACCATAGGAAACATGTTTTCCCATTTCACAACTACTAAATGAAATTTTGCAAAGTCAACCTGAAGAAAAGATAGGAGCACTGACTCACTGTGTATTCATCCTCCTTGTTTGGTGAGATCAGATAAGAGCTACGAAAAATGACAAAAACTGCTATCACAACATGAGTTAATTTTTTGAATTATTCTTGATTGCCCTTATTTTTCTTTTTACCAAACTATTAAGTGCTAAAGGCATTTCAAAGCATATTCCTGAGGCTGGAAAGGTGGCTCATCAGTTAAGAGCACTGGCTGCTCTTATGGAGGACCCAGATTGGATTCTGTGCACCCCCATGGCAGCTAACAACCATCCATAACTCCAGTTGCAGGGGATCCCACACCTTCTTCTGACCTCTGAAGGCACTACAGTACACAGGTGCACTTACACACATGCAGGTGATACACTCATACACATAAAATAAAAATAAGTAAAAAAATGCTTTTAAAAAAGGCACATTGCTTTTTCTGCATTTCCCTAACAATCAATTTAAGTATAATTTCTCTGTACATCAGCACAAAACAAATCTGAAGCAGCTTGGAAAAAAAGGTGCGCCGAGTGGGACAGTATCATAGTAAGTAATCTGAGAGGTGGCAAGAGTGAAAAATTAAAATGAATTTGTGATGCAAAGTATATGAAGACACTCCCTAAGCTTTCATATACCGACTTGAATACTGCTCCGTTTCCTCTGATCCTTTTAGTTGTCAAAGCAGACAGAAATCCATTATTTATTATTTACTTCATGGTTCCATAGGGTATAAATAAGTTCCTCTATAGAAACCGTCCAATGCCCTCACTATGAAGACGAGAGAAATGTCTTCCCCTGGGCATCTTTCTTTTATGCACATAACTCCTGACTGAACATATATTTAGAATATTGTCCTGAATGTCCTCTCTTCTACATGTTAGGTAAAATATGTAAGACATGAATGAAAGTTATTGTGGTGTCTGTGAACTAAGATGTGGACATTCCAAAACTCTCCTCCCAATAAGAGGAGGCAAGACCAAGACTAAACACTGATTCATTTTGGCTCGTGAACTCACTTAAACTGTCCTTAGAATACCCCATAAAATAAGGCTTTGGTTCTCACCATTATTGATAAAACAAAAACAAAAACACCACCCACGACTTATTCTTATGCAGTAGACCTAAGACATTTTCATTAATGACTAAAAAAACCGGTCAACTGAGTCACTAAAACCCAATGAAATCAGCCCAATAATGTGATTTGGAGCCTTGGCCGAAGCATAGGACACTGTTTCTGAATCAAGGTCAGTGTTAATTCAATGATTTGACGCGTCTCATTTTCAAGAATGTACTGTTCTCAACCAGAGCCACATCCCATGACAACTATCCAATTTGTTTGATTCTGTGTTCTTTTACTTAGAATTGGGGAGGGCTTTTTTCCTCCTTTAATTAGATACGGTGGTTAAACAGTTTCCTCCCTCTTTTGCAGCAGAAATAGTTAAGCTCCTCTGATTTTTTCGTTCCAATTCCCAGGAAGCCTACAGGTCTGGAAACTCATCCTCAGAACTGTCTTCTGGCTACTGCCCATAAGACTGTGTGATATCAGTTCAAAGAGGAGGCAAGGAAAGGTCGTATTAATTCCGTGTGGGTAGCAAATGTCCTAGGCAAAAGTGCTGCAGCCCTGGCTGCCTTAGTGACAGGCATACCACAAATGCCAGGATGTTTTTCCTCTGGGTACTAACTCTTGCTGGAAACCTTAGATAAAGCTAGGGTCCCATGAGTAAGTATACTTCCTCCAGTTTGCATGCCAAAATCCATTTGGCTAGGAAAGGATTCCTCTGTGTGTGTTTACCTTCTTTAAGACCACAAAGGATTTGTTTTGAAAACTTCAACTAAAGGAAAGCAAAGACCAGTCAAGAGAAGCAAATAGGGTGGGGGGGAGGGGAGGGCAGAAGCATATTCTGGAACTTTGAATCAACCTTTGACCATTTCCTTTTAAGATGTCAGGGCTACTGTTTTGAGGAAGGTAGAAAATAAAGATGGTTCCAGGTAAGATTCTGCCCAGTCCTCATCTTCCTGACATTTCCCTGTTCCACTCACATTTTCACTGCTTTTTCTGTTGCTATGACAACTCACATGCGTATATGTTAACAGTAGGTTAAATAATGCCACATATCACTACAGAATCATTAGCGCCTCGCAGAATCATGTTCGGTGTATTTACATACAGTGGGCTCTTAATAACCGCTATATATGTGTCTTTTTAGCCACTTTTTCATACATAAACCCATACTCTCTCCAGTAGCTTCTTCATCATCACTGGAAGGATGAATGTTTTTATGCTAAGTATTCGGAGGGAAAAGAAAAGTTTTCTTTAAAGCTATAATGAACTTCAAGTACAGTTGCGACCAGAGTTTCACCTGAATTACTTTTAATTCAAGGGACTGAGAAAAGCAAAAGAGCAATCTATCAATTTTTTTCTTGCTTAATAGGTTGTGACCCCGCCCCCCATGCTTTACCTTTTAAATGGAATCAGGCACCAGTTCACAGGGCCTTGGGTACAGTGGTGAATACCCAGATTGGTCTCTCTTAAGTCCTATTTTCTGTTAGGTTTTACTGCTCTCTGCTGGCAGCACATTAACGAATTCAGGCATCTGGTTGATGGTTCGTTATATTTGTTAGGTTTTACTGCTATCTGCTGGCTTGATTTGGGAACTACAGTACATCTTTATTTCGTCTGTTCCCCTCTCCTTTTTTGGGCGCCTGTTTCTCCCTACATTTGTTATGTTTTACTGCCATCTTGTGGTCATTGTGTGGAAACTCATTCATATTGACTAAAGATGTGTTGGAACATTGCTCAAAAGGTCTTTTTGTTTCAGCCCCGTGTCCAACCATTCGCCACCTGCCATTGGCATTTGCATAACGGTCATATTGTTTGAATCTGGTCATGCTCACATACTTGTCATTGTCTTGTGCCAGAAGCCCTGACATGCTGCAGTCGGAAGTTTCCTTTTCCATGGGAGGGAGGCATTCATCTACAGACTCCAACAAGGCCTCCAGCGGAGACATCTCCCCTTATGACAACAACTCCCCAGTGCTGTCTGAGCGCTCCCTGCTGGCTATGCAAGAGGACAGGGCCCCGGGGGGCTCAGAGAAGCTTTACAAAGTGCCAGAACAGTATATGCTGGTGGGCCACTTGCCGTCGCCAAAGTCAAAGTCAAGGGAAAGTTCTCCTGGACCAAGGCTTGGAAAAGGTACCTGGAGCCTGGCTGGTGACAGCCAAATTAAGCATCTCTCCTTTTGTTTCATGTAACAACAGGGTGGGCCATTTGGAAATTTCCTCATCTGGTTCTTGATGCTTCTGCAATTCAGTGAGCATTTACTGAGTACCTGCTGAATGTCTAAGATAGGCGAAAAGGATGGCATTGTGTTAAAAGGTCGCAGCCTCCTCTGACTCTCAGGAGTGAGCGCATCCCTAGAGGACCCATTCATTATTCCAGCTGATCTTTTTCCTTCCAGCATCAAGGGAAGACTCCATATCCTGCCTGATGAATATGCATTTCATGTTTGCTAGTCTAAGACATCACCATATCACTTCTGTTATTTTTATGAAGAAAAGATGCTGAACCTACTATATACCAACACAGTGTGCCAGAACCAAGTGTGGTCAGCATCTAGAAACAAGAGCACTAGACTGGGAGTCAGAAAGCCGTTCTGCCACTTCTGGCTTCCAGGATATCAAAGGAGTAATTGAGCTTCACAGAGGCTTATGGCCTTCTGACAGGAAAATTAAGAGATGGCTATAGTGGCCTATGTATTGGGTTTCAGGAGCGAATCCATACACAGTCCTGACTGTGGCATCACCATGGACTAAACACAGGCTGATCTATAACTCTGTGTACACTTCTGGCCTCTTACCCTGGGTGCTTCCCCTATTTCAGGATTTCCCGAGGCTCTCCTAGGGATGATGTGAGGTCCCCCACAGGAACTGTCAAACATGTGGAAACACTCAGTAGACCTCTTCTTTCAAGTTATAGTCATGATCCCAGCACAGACTTGGAAGGAGAAAAAAATTGAGATGGCTAAAATGTCTAATATAGCCTCTTATCACAGAACAACTTATGCCCAGACCGAGAGGGCAGTGTGAAGGAACACACACACACACACACACACACACACACACACACACACACAACAAATGAATCTGATGGTGCCATTGCAGCAGTAGTCCCTAAGAAAGTTTTTTTTTTTTTAATTTAGAACTAGTATTGTCTATGCATTAAATCCTATGGGCAGGCTATGTGAAGTGTAGATAGGGGAGGGGTCTAAATATGACTAAGATGTATTTGTATGAAATACACAAAAATTCAAAAACTATATACATTGTGAAAAATCGCTAGTACTTCTGCTCCTGTACCTCTATGTTCCCATAGTCAGAGCCTAGACAGTGGTCACCACGTGTCCCCTTGTGTCACTTTCCTATCACTGTTATCACTCCCATTTAAAACAACACACAAATTTTCTTCCTTACAGTTTGGGAGTTCAGAAATCACATCGGTGCAAAGTGCTGCCTTCTGTTCTGAAGGATCTAGGGAACAATGTTTCTTACCCTTTTTTAGCTTCTAGAGGCTCTGGAGCCCTGATATCATGGCTCCTTCTTCGGTGTCTGAAACCACCAATCCAGTAGCATCTTTACCCAGGTCCTAAGGGAGAGTCATTCTACCATCAGAAGCATAGTTCAGTTGTGTATACAGATGGACTCTGAATGTTCTGGGTATTATGACACATATCTTTGGTGGACCTTTATTCTGTCCGCCACAGCATTATATACAAAGAGCATTTTTGTACATCTCCAACAGAAGAAACTTCCTGAAAAGGAAGTCCAAATTCTTTTTTTTTTTTTTTTGCCCAATACAATGTTGAACATACTACTTTGTGAAGAAGAGATGTAATGAAAATATTTACTGATTTCATCCTTAAATTTTTCTGTGTTATGGACCCTTTTGTATTCTTTGTCCTAGATATGTCAGAGGAGCCTTTCAATATCTGGGGAACTTGGCATTCAACATTAAAAAGTGGATCCAAAGACCCAGGAATGACAGGTGAAGTGGCATTTTAAAATTTCATTGCGTGTGCAGTAAAAATTAACTTTGTCTTTTAAACTTTTTTGTTTATTTTATGTGTGGGAGTGTTATGCCTGCATGTATGTAAGTATACACGTGTCATGCAATACCCACGAAAGACGGAGTGCATAGGAGCCCCTGGAATTGGAGTTATGGATGGTTGTTAGCCTCCTTGTGGGTGCTGGGATTCGAACCCAGGTCTTCTGCAAGAGCAGCCAGTGCTCTTAAGCGCTGAGCATCTCTCCAGTCCAATTTTCTCTAACTTTTACATGTTGCCATACTATATGCCTGCCAAACAAATCTCTTCTTAGGCTTTCCACCCAAATATGCTAATGTTTTCTTTATTACTGGAGATTTGTTTTTTTCAGGTCGCCATAGCTGACTTATGCTGAGCTTTTTTTTCAGCAGTAGAGGTCCTCAAGGCAGCTGTACAAACTAATTCCCGTTCTTGCCTTTCTCTCCTGGCTCCAGGTTCCTATGGTGACATTTTTGAAAGTAGCTCCCTGCGACCGGGTCCCTGTTCCCTTTCTCAAGGGAACCTATCCCTGAACTGGCCTCGGTGGCAGGGAAGCCCCACAGGGATGGACAGCGGCACTCAGGTGGTTCGGAGGACTCAGACGGCAAGCACCGTGGCACAGTGCAGTGTCCCCCCTCCCGTCTCGCGTGTCTGTAGCACTCCCCACATCCAGGGCAGTGGCAGGGGGCTCAGGCGGCCCACGGCCAGGTCTGAGCCGTACTTGTCCCTAAGCAGCATGGAAGACCTGGCCGAGGGTGAGCTACAGGTGGCCTCCATGAAGAGCCGGGCCCAGCCTGCCTACCAGAGACCTCGGGAGAGTGCCAGGGAGGACAGGCGACCTCCTCCTCCTTACCCGGGGCCTGGGAAGCCTGCTGTGGCCTTGGCCCAGCAGCCCCTGGAGCCTCCCCTGTGGAGGCTGCAGAGGCCTGAAGAAGGTTCTGGAACAGCTGCAGAAGAGGGAGGCCAGCAGGCCTCGAAAGAGCATCAGGCCACGCCAAAAAAACTGAGCAGCGCCTGCTCCCTTCCAGCCAGTGAGCAGGACAGTCAGAACTTGGGGGGGACCAACTGGCTGGACTGGCAGCGAGAGCGGTGGCAGATCTGGGAGCTCCTGTCCACTGACAACCCCGACGCCCTCCCGGAAACGCTGGTATGAGCCCGCCAGCAGCTGGAGCCCACCCTCTTGAAAAAACCAAAACCAAACCAAAACGCACTTTTCCGGCCCAGACCGGAAAAACTTTCTGATGGACAATTGGACACGTACTCCTTTTTCTTTTTTTCACACTTTGAAAGAGCAACACGAGAGAAACTGAGTTCACTTACTGAGGCAGAGCACCCACACCCTCGCCATTTATGGTAGGATTCTATTGCGTAGCCAGCCTTAGGAAAAGTAAAAAAGTACAAAAAAAAAAACAAAAACAAAAACAAAAAAACACAGCAACAACAAAAAAAAACATAAAAACAAAGAACGCGCCAATACCCAATCTCAAACTATCCACTTTGGCTCTATATAAAACTCTTGCTTTGATATAGCTTAATTGTATTTATATGTCTTCAGTTTTGACTATTGTATATTCTGTAACAGATTATATATGATATATTCACAGTAAAGACGGAACTTCTTTTTTTAAAAAAAAATCACTTCACTTATATTACACTATGAGATATATTAAGCAACGAGATTCTATAAGAGTGTTCTAGAATATGCACAAGCGGGTTTCTGTGCGTTTGCCAAAGCTTTTTACCTGGGGATAGCCCTTCCTACAATGCCTAAGAGAAACACTAACAAAACAGAACAGAATATGCTAAGAAGCCATATTTTTATATAGCATTGAGATACAAAAATTATAGTCACTGAATGCTTTTCCATATTGAATGAGTTTTAAGGAAATATTCAGTTTGATACCTTATGAACTATAATTTTAGAACCTGTTCAGAAAGGATTCAGTTAAGCAAAGAATAGAAAGGCGGTGCCTATCAAACAGTACTTAATAAATTATCCATCCCATTCTAAGTCAAATTTGATTTGATATAGACCACATATAATATATATTTATAATGTATAACTTTTATGTATTTTTCAAAGCTACAAACTGGAATCCAACTACAATATGTTTAAAAATCTGAATATGCAATCAAATTAGACAACATCCTTTTTCCCTCTACCCAGTTATTAATCGTAGCCCAATTACTAGCAATTCATTATAATAAAGTAAGTCATATCTGGGAAGAAAAAACAACTACAGCTTTGTGCTTACATTGTTACAGTGTCCCAAACGCTGAGGAAATATGTCTTCAGTAATTTTATGTGAATTGTAAACGTGTTCCTTCCTTTAGCAATTTGAAGTTTTTCGACTGCAAAACTATTTTTGACCAGCAGGTGGCAATTTCCTTCGGTATTTTCGGATTATTTTCACTTCAGAAGGGAAAGTGTACTATACAAAACGATTTTTTTTTATAAAATGTGCTACTCATAATTTTCATGTTGTTAATGAAATTTTTCAGTGGTGTTTCTTAAAAGTTCTATCTTGTGCCATGATAAATAAAAAGATAAGCAAAGTTGTGTTGCCTGACGTTACATCTAATGAAGTTTACAACCCATTCCAGATATGTGCTTAACCACCCAAGAGTTTAAATATAATCAATAACGCCAATTCCATGCATATACATGTAGAGTTAAAGGGCTAGTTTTTAAAATGTCAGGTACAATAACCCAGCATAGAACTGGGAAAATGAACGGCAGACCTCAGTTTTATCTGAAGGAATGTTGGCGACTGATTCCTGCTAAATGAGGAAGAGCTGATCTTCCCAAAACAAGGGATTCTAGATAGGCTGACTAGACTTAGTGGGTGGACTTGCACTGGGGAACAGCTGGGGACACTGACAACTCAGTGGGCCTTAACAGGAATGACTGAGCATAATGGGCTCCAGTGGGGGGGTGCACTATGGGAGGGTGTCAGTGGGGACAGGGGTAAAAAGATGATTAAGATTGTTTGAGCTGTTCTGTATGAAATACACAAAAAATTTAATAAGAATAAAAATAAATAAAATAGGTAGTTTGGGGACATCGACTCAGTGATACTGAAATATTTAGAAATCCATAATGTGTTGCAAATTAAGGCTGAATTTCTTGTTATTGAGAAAGTCATTTCACACATGACCAAGACTGGTTTCCTGCCTCCTGGGCAAGTCTCAACACAGTCCTTGAAAGTTGTGTCTGTTCTGCAAGCCTTAGATGTCTGATTGGCTCCACCAGTGAACTGTTCATACTTGGGGACTGATTGAGTGTACTTCAGCTTCTGCCATTGGGCCCAGCACTTCCGCTACTGGCTTAGACTCTGGAAAGTTTGTATGCATATCTCAGTTCTTCCTCACTGACCCCATTTGGACTGAAGATAAAAGCAAGATTCAAAAAAGTTCCATTTGATTGTAGCCAGAAAGGAGCGTTACTGTGTCACTCACTTTCATCATCTTTTGATCCAAGATCTGACCAGTTCTTTCCTCCCTTTCTGAATCTCCTGTTTGGTACCATGTTTATGCTGTTATAGCTGTGATTTATAAATCTTTTAAATCAAATGATGTTAATATCTGTAAAAAAAAGTAATGAAAGTAATGAAGCTATATCCATTTGTTAACAGATCTAAAGTAGACAAGGAGTGTAGAAAAGAAAATATTCATTCCCTTTTTCTCTTTGACCATCTAAGATCTATGGCTGCATCATTCACTTAGTAAGTGAATGCTTATTTCTTAGATGCCTTTATCACATTGTAGATAGGCCACTTTTAAAACACACATGATGGCTCAGTGGGCAAAGTGCCTGTCATGCAAGCCTGATGACCTCTGTTTGGTCCCAAGAACACATGAAAAAGCTAGACACAGTAGCAAAGGCATCTGTAAGCCTAGAGCTCCTATGGGGAGATGGAAGGTAGAGACAGGAGAATCCCCACAAGTTCACAAGCCAGCCAGGCTGGCATACATAGGGATGAGCAGCGAGATAGACCCCATCTCAAACAAGGTGGAAGGCAAAGACCCACACCCAAGTTTTTTCTCTGACCTCCACATGTGTGCCCACACGAAAACACCATACATACAACAGACACACACAAAAAGATTTGAAAAAATACTTTAAAGTACATATGACATCCAAAGACCTGAGTGGAAATTGAGGTCATTTTTTACACACAACAGTATGTGATAATCATACCTGATGAGAAAAACAAATGTCAAATTGAACAAAAAACCTTTTTTTTTTTTTTTTTAACCAGGCTGGTTGAGTTACTGGCTCCTCATGAGGAAAGTGATCCTAGAAATAAAGAGGCAATTTGCCATAGATGTCTCCATGTCTATGAATACTCAATTACTGTTTTTGTGTCTCTCACAAAGGGACGAGAATGGTGATCACAGAAATGACCAAATATGCGTTTGTCTTCATCCCTCTAAGTAGCTATTAACATATGTCTGTTGTGGGTTTTGATAGAAAACAAAACAAAACAAAAATCTTAGGCCAATGGGGGTATGTGCAAATTGAGGAAATTTCTAAATAAATCCAGCTTGCTTCTTTTCTTATGCACATTTTAATGCACATCTGTTTGGCAGAGAAACTGTAGTGGGATTGAATATAAAGAGATACCGAAACAAAGTGGCGGCCTGTGCTGTCTGCTGGTCTGATAATCAAACAGCAGGAGGTAGAGTCTCTTGAACTAAGAAGAGAGGAGTCCACTGCAGAAGAGTCACACAGATTTAAGCAGGACATCTTGACCAGACAGAACTATAAAACAAGATGACATCAGCAATAACTATTCTTTAACACAAAAAAAGCAACACATAAATCAAAGCAAAATTTGGATCAAGGTTGGCAGCCTAGATATGTTGAACTGGAGTGCAGGACCCCCATGTGACATGGCCCTCAATCTGGCAATGTCTGATCACCTCAAGCCATCCAGTATCTCTTTAGAGTGACCGATTCATGCAAGTTTGCCTGAGGCTCTGTTGGGTTTAGTAACAAAAGCCCCAAAACCCAAGCATAAGCCCCTGCTATTACTTACCTCTCATGATGGAGACAGATGAACTGAGGATACAGGGCACTTGACTTGGTACCTCTCAAGCAGGATCACCAAATAAGATAAAGGTGCTTCAGTCTGATGGCTAGATAAACAACAGATTACGTGTTAGTATCAGTATGTCCCATGTAAAATCTCGGCTATACTTATACTCAAATAACGGTTCATTCTCTGAGGTATTAAACATGCTATATACTTATATTAAAAAGAAGTACTTTAGCCGGGCGTGGTGGTGCATGCCTTTAATCCCAGCACTCAGGAGGCAGAGGCAGGCGGATCTCTGTGAGTTCAAGGCCAGCCTGGTCTACACAGTGAGTTCCAGGACAGCTGGGGCTACAGGGAATCCCTGTCTCAAAAAGACCAAAAGAAAAGAAGTATTTTGTTTACCTGACATATTTGCTGAACCTGGCAACCTTAACCTTCAGCTTTGATATTCCACTGGGTTCCCAACGAAGGGCCCTCCTTCTCTGGTCTGCAAAAAAAAAAAATCTACTCCATGATGACAACATACTCCAAAATCTGGTCTCATCCATCTGCCATTTGAGCACACTATTCATGAAGAATTAACTTAAATTTTCTGTTTGCAGAAACACAATGAATAACACCTCATTCTGGCCCTTTGCACAGGATAAAGTCAAGTTAATAAGCATTGCTATGCATTACTGTTACTGCCTTTTAACTTTATCTGGAGACCCTATTCCTAAGGTTGTAAACTGTGTTTTGTTTTCTTTTTTCTACCTTCTGGACCAGGCAGAGACCTAGCACATATCTAACATTTGTTTGATAAACGTTTGCTGAACATAAGCATGTTACTTTTAATCAAATAACTTGCCATGCAAAGAGAAACCATGCACGGCCAGGAGAGATGGCTCACTGGTTAAGAGCACTGACTGCTCTTACACAGTACCTGTCCTAATTTGTTTCTTCATTGCTGTGACAAAACACTCTGACAACTTCCAACTTGGGGAGGAAAGGGTTTATTCAGCTTATATGTCCCAGGTCACAGTTCATCAGGGAGCCCAAGGTATGGCAGGAACCTGGAGCTAGGAGCTGTAGCACAGGCCATGGAGGAACTCTGCTTACTGGCTTGCTCCCCTGGCCCCTGCTCAGTCTGCTTTCTTATGCAACACAGGCCCACCTGCCCAGGGGAGGCAACACCCACAATGGGCTGGGCCCTCTCACATCACTCAACAATCAAGAAGGTGTCCCACGGACATGGCCACAGGCCAGTCCAATAAAGGCAATTCCCCAGTTGAGGCTCCCTCAACCCAGGTGTGTCAAGTTGACACTAAAGCTATCCAGCACAGTACCCAAATTCGGTTCCCAGCACCCACATGGTAGCTAACAACCATCCTTAACTCCAGTTTCAGAGGAATCTGCCTCCCTCTTCTGGCTGCTGTGGGCATTGCA